CAATTTCTTAATCTTTCTATGTTATACTTCGTTTTACCTCTTTTTTTGATGCGAATTAAAATTTGATCAAACTCAATATGGGTACTGAACACACAATACTGAATAAAATTTTAAAAAATCACCAGTATGTAAATAAGTGCTTTGGCTAAGCTACAACACATCTTGTTGATCAGAAATTAATCTAAACGGTCTTGATGTAAGTTTGTTTTGCTTGAAAGCTATCTCTGCTTCTTTTACTTCCGGGAGACGGGAGAATCACCAAGAGCTATGTAAAATTCACTTACTGACTTTCGAGAATTGGGGAAAGTCCCCTTATCTGAATCATAGAAAGTTATCAACTCAAAGAATGGTGATGAAGATATGAATAATCTTAGACCAGGTCCTTTAACTAGTAGCGAAGGACACAAAAAGCGTCATTCAGATGAGGGGCCCTTGGATCTTGCATATACAAGGGCGGACCTACATGGTCCTATATGGAAGTAGGACACCTTTTTTCGGTGTGGGGTTACATGACACCAGATTCCATGTAGCTCACATGGTCTATGTTAGTTATGCATCGTCTTATGATGCAAACACAAGTAACTAGGATCGACATCCGGCGCATTCGTTGATCCAATGAGCAGTTCAGAGTCTGTTGGTGAGCCTCTTTGCATTCCAGAGGACTCCTTCACATTGTTTTCAGTTTTAGTATTAGTTCATTAGGATGTCGCGGGCCTGTCCCGACATCCATCTCAGTTGTTTAGAGGCTTCATAGATAGTCAGACAGTCAGTTAGTGAATTCAATTGTCTTTGATCTGTGAGAAAGGGAATAAATCTTCTCTAAATATAACATCTTTGCTGACAAAGAATGTCTTAGTAGTAAGATCAAATAAAACATAACCTTTTTGTGTCTCTGAATACCCCATATGAACTGTAGACTTAGATCTTGGCATCATTTTGTCATGTTCAACTAGATTTTTGGAAAGACAGACATCCAATAGTTCTCAAGTGTGTCAATCTAGGTTTACTTCCAAAAAATCACTAGTATGTAAATAAGTGCTTTGGCTAAGCTACAACACATCTTGTTGATCAGAAATTAATCTAAACTTCTTTGTGTAAAATTTTAGTGAGTATATTATGTAAGTGTCATCAAGATAAAGTGGGGGTGCAGTAACAATGATTTTCAATGACATTTTTTTTAAAATGGAGATTCCCTAAACAATCATTCAAGTTCACCAAATCATTCACTCTTTCCTAATTGGAATCAAATTATTCAGTTACTTCGGCTGTCTCATGTTATATGATTTTTTTTTTAGTTAATTTCAAAGAGAATGACATATTTCTATATTTAGTAATAATTTAATTTTTAATTTTTCATCCTACTCTTAATGAAATGATTTATAGCCTTACAAATATTTATCACTTATTTTAGACCACACGTTTCAAAAATCTTTCTTTTTTTCTTAAACTTCGCACCGAGTCAACCTAGCTCATATAAAATAAAACGAAGAAAATACTAAATTGTCTCATTAAAAAGTAAAATAGCCATGAAAATCACATTCATTAAACAGAAGGACAAATAGCCTACAATGATATATATATTTCTTCAAAATTCAAATAGTCTAAATAAAAGGAAACACTTTAAAATAAAACTTCATAATCCCAAAATTCTAACGAAATCTTTCCACACCCACAAATGAGAAAGGAAAAATGAAATGAATCAGCCTACGTTAAAGATATAAATAATGCAATTGTAAGACAGACAAATAAATCAAGGTTAAATTCAAAGTTTGGATTATTCCTGCTAAAAAAGAGTCCAATTTATTTGTCTTTCTTACTGTTACATTATTAATATATTAATATTTTGATTTTTGTCCACGTCATAATAAAGACATATTTAGACCAATTTTACATCGATAAGACATATCTTACCCCAACTATTGATAAATGGTATACTTGGACTACATTCTAAAATTCGATGGCATTATTGTTCGGTAAAATGATTTGATGGACCCTTATATTTGTATAAGTTTGTACTCTGAACTTTCTAATTTAGCACTTTTATCAACTGAACTCTTTAACTCGAATGAAACTCAACATTTTAAATTCTTTTGGCTTTGTGTGAACTTCAAACGCCCAATGAAAATGACACGTCATCATCCACATCAGATTTTATATGATACGTCATTTATTATTTATTTTTTAAAAAAATATTTTTTTCTTCCTTCACTCCATTACTCCCTTCATTGTTAGAGCCCGTTTGGACTGACTTAAAAAAAGTAGCTTTTAAGTCAAAAATAAAAAGTTAAACTGAAATGATTTTTAAGTCAAAAAATAAAAAATAGGAGGAGACCTACTTTTGGTTTCTGACTTATTTAAAGTCATTTTTGACCTTGCCAAACACTTTGTAACTTATTTTAAGTCATTTTTTACTTATTTTAAGTTATTATTTGTATTTGTCAACACTTTCAGAAGTCAAAAACTAACTTAAAAAAGTAGGTTTGACCAAATTTTAAGTCAATCCAAACGAGCTCTTACTTGAGCAACTTCTAAAACTCTTTCCTCCATTAATACCAATGAATCACCATTAAAATACCTTAATATATCTTAATATTTGCACACAATTTTACACAATACCTTCATCTAATTTCATTAAGATATTCAAAAATTACTTTTCACCATTCAAAAACTATCACTTTACCCTAGAAAAAAAACAAAAACAAATCAAGAACAATTTTAACAGCAAAAGAGGTCAAAATACTCATTAGAGATATTTCTTCCGATAACTATAGTTATGCCACCAATTTTCTGAATTTTCCTTTGTTGATTATGTTCAATTTTTTTTTGCACAATTTCGTTTTTAATTTGGGGGAAGAGAAAACGAAAAAGAAAGAAGAGAAAGAAAATGGAAAGGGAGAAAGAGAGAAATGGAGGTCTGAAGAACAGGGAAAGTGATGATTGAAGAGGAAAAAAGAAACGGGGATGGGGGTCGGGGGAAGAAAGAAGTGAAACATTTATTTTTAATTTTCTTTTTTCTTTTTATTCTTAGTCTTTTTTTCTTTTAATTATTTTTAATTTAAATTTTTATGTTTACGCTCTTTTTGCACGTGGAACCACGTATTTATTTCAATTCATTAATCAAGTTGCCACATAAACTTGGTCAACCGTCAGAAGGGTTTAAAATATTAAGTTTCATGAGTTAGAGGGCTCAGTTGACAAAGTTCTAAGTTGAAAGGTCCAAAATACAAAGGCATACAAGTACAAGGGTCCATCAGACCATTTCGCCTTATTGTTCATCAAATGAAGAGTTTCAAATATATTTTTATCTTTAGCATTAATAACGTAAATATATTAATTAGTATGATAACATAGTTATGTCAATTACTTTTTTAATTAATACTCTCTCTGTCCACTATTGTTTGTCAGGGTGAGATCATGCAAAATCTTTAAGAAAAATTTAATATAAGGTGCAATTTGACTAACATAACCCTACTATCAATCATTATTAAAATGGTTTGTACTTTTTGAAAATCGTAAAAGCAACATTTTTCACATTAAAGTAGTCTTATAACTTTAAAATGACTACTTTTTGAAATTAGTAGTTTGTAATTATTAAGGGCAAAATTGAAAAAAAGTGACTAATTATTTATTGATTGTTTAAATTGACAATTAATTTTAGACAATTATTTTTAGTATATCTGACAAACAATAGTGAACGAAAAAAAGTATATCAAATTCAAATATAAAAAGTAAAATTGAACAGAAATTTACGTAAGTATGGGTGGCACATTAAATTAGTAGTTATTCATATAGGGACCATGGCATATTGGATTGGTACTAGTACACCCATACATGCATATCTCTATCTATTTTGGTCCCACCGATACATGAATAAAACGTGCTGGTCGTGTTTTATTTTAAAATAAAAATACAAAGTTTACTAGCTTGAATAATTATATTGGGTGAAATAAATTTATGAGTGAACTTTGAAAAAATTAATTTTATGTATTTTATTAATATTTGGGCTTAATCATGCCATTGTCATTATAGAAAAAGTTCATTAATCATGCTATTATTTTTTAACCAATAGACCTGATGGTTTTGCGAAATCATTTTTTTTCGTGCGGCTTCTCATTAGAATTTCACAACACCAAAATTAAACTGATAAAAAAAATTAAATATGACATCGAACTTTGAAAAAAGATTTATCTATGTCATTCGTTAATAATTTGGCTGAGTCATGCTACATTCACTTTTGCTCAAAGTCGATAAATAGATAAATCTTTTCTCAAAGTTCGATAACATATTTGAACTTTTTCTACTAGTTTAATCTTGGTGAGGTTAACCTCTAATAAGAGGCCATGTGGGAAAATGATTTTGCGAAATCATCAAATCGGTAAAAAAATAATGACACGAATGGACCTCTATATAATGGCAGTGACATGATTAAGACAAATTACTAATGAATGATATAAATGAATCTTTTTTAAAAATTTGATGACATATTTGAGTCTATCTAAATTACTGCAATGATACAATTATTATTACTAGCCATCTTCACCAACAGTGATTGACATTCGCCATCACATTACTATCGATCACTACTGTTAATTAATATTGATACTAATTTCCAACACATGGTTCATCAGATAAATAATTTTTACAACACATGCAAATTATCTTATGCTAATGATATTTAGTTTTTATGTTGTTTGAATTTCAATTATTACTTTTTAAATAAAGATATATTATGTATATTTAGATACTGAGAAATCAAAGATAATTTTCTCATAATAATCAAGCGTCTAAAGATAAAATTTCAATAATTAGATAATTATATTCAAATTTAAACATCGTAATCATCAATGATGTGTATAATAGTATTTTGCAAAATTATCAACAACAAAAAATAAAAAAAATTATGTGGTTGCGAAACATTTTGATTCTCACCACACTAGTCTCCTAATAAGGCCTATAAATACTCTTGTTGGTGGAGGAATGAAAAGCCATCCACATTAATTGTATTATTACCATGGCACAAAAACTTACTATCCTTTTCACCATTCTCCTTGTGGTTATTGCTGGTAAGTCATGTCATCTTACTCCTATGTTTTAGAATGGAAAATGATCAAATTTGTTCATTTATTATGCAAAAAAAGAAAAGTTTTATCCTTCATTATACTTGTTTTTTTATGTTGGTCGAGTAGTACAAATATACATGTAAAATTCACAAATAGCTATTTTTAGACCTTATAATTGAAAAATAGTTATTATATGAAGTTTCAAATTTCACAAGTCAAATGCTTTGTGGAATTGAAATTCTATAATAATAGTTAATTTTTCAAAAACAAGGTTAAAAGTGGCGAGTTATTATTATTTCTACTAAATAATATAACTTCTTTTGTTATAGTTATCCAAAATAGACATTCAAATTCATGTTAATAAGATGAACACTATATGACATGTCACCTCACGACCCAACCCCAACATGTCCACCATTAACAACACTACTATCACTATATCGATCTGATCTCCATTGGTATATGAAAAACTTGGATCTCAAGAGCGAATTTGAAATAATAATAATAAAAATATATTCAGTCAAAATCCTATAAAGTGAGGATTGAGGACAGGAGAGTGTATACATAACTTATCCCTACTTTGTTAAAGTAAAAAAATGTTGTTTTTGAAAGACCCTCGACTTAAGTGACAACAAAATAAAAAAGTAATAAAACAGAAAAAACGACAGTAAAGAAAAACATGACAACTAAAGTTTAATACTACGTTAGTTTTACAAAATATAGTTTTGAATTTTGCAGCTCATGACAATTCATTCTACTCCCCGAAAATTCATGTGATGGCCCGAGATGTTGTTCTACCAACGGTGACGAAACTTTTTCAGCGAGACCCAGATCCAATTTGTAACAAACCTTGTAAAACACACGATGATTGCTCCGGTGCCTGGTTCTGTCAGGCCTGTTGGAATTCCGCGAGGACATGTGGGCCCTATGTTGGCGGCGCCATGGCCATAGGCCTGTAATTTCAATATTATTGTCTCAAGTGTTGTCCTTCTTTTCGACTTTTAGTCCTAAGTGACCAAAGTGTAATTCGAAAAGAAGCAAAAAGTATCTATGTTTTAGATACATGCTTTGTGGCTAATAAAAAATCGACTATACTTGTTGATTTGATATAAATATGTTATCAGGGTGTAATATGTAATCACCAAATTAAATAAAAACCATCTTGTTATGTGTGTTATATATGTTTCTTTTTGTTTTATATGAGTTGTAAATTAACCCATACAATATGATTCGTTCCTCTCCGCTTTCTTTTCTTGAGAAGAATGCTCTGGTCTGTCATAAATGTCATTAGGTCATCTATGATGTGCATCTGCAAGAATGAAGGACAGAAGATTGGAAAACAAAAAAGAAAGTCAGGGCGTCTGATGGATGAAGTTTACCATGTAATGTCAGGGACCTAAAGTGAAATTTTAATTTGAGGCCTAAAATCTATATAAACTTTATATGGAGTTGTTTATTTTTCCAACTTTTTAATGCAAATTATTACATAATATCTTTTTTAAAAATGATTTCTTCGAATATCATTTTTAATTACTAAATTTAGTTAAGATTTTATCAATTCAACGTTGAAAAACATTCTTTTACCGAGGCAACCATTATATAAATTGTTAACATAATTCTATAAGTAATAAGTTGACAAACTTGACATAAAGATAAGAGTTAGAACCATAAAATCTGATAAAAGAAATTGAAAATTTAATTATTTATTTATTTTTTTTTTTTCCGTGGTTTCCGGGCGTCGCTTTGCGAACCCGACTAGCTGTACCCACCGGGTCCCGCTGTTTCAAGGCGGGTCCACCACGGTTAGTTCCACGGGGCCCTGGAGACGCGGCCGGTTTGTAATGCCTCCAGTGGCCCTGCTGGGGCTCGAACCGGCGACCTGAAGGACTTTGTCCCAGGCCTTTACCAGCTGAGCTACCCCTCAGGGTTATTGAAAATTTAATATGTTTATGTAATACTTGAAAATTTAAGAAGAAACAATAAAAAATAAATTGTAAGTCACTTTGTTCAATATTTTTTTACTATTGATTTATATTTTTGATAGTGTATTACTCTAACTTATCAAAGATCTAAAAAAAGGAAGAGCATTTTTTTTTTAAAAAAGATCAACGAAACCGAAAGATAAATAATACAAGTGTTAGCGAAGAGAATGTAAACATACAAAACAATCTTTTCTTAATTTCTTCTATTTGAATGGCGTTAAAAATAATAAAATAATATAATTTTTAAGATAATATACTTTTTAAGCATAAATAATTAATCTTTTATTAAAAAAGTTTAACACATAATTTTTTCTTGATGAAAATTTAATGCCCCCTAAAATTGGGGCCCAAGGCATATGCGTAAATTTATTAAGCAAGCAAGAGTCGGCCCTGTGCATAGCTTACTCATACTTTGTGAAAGTAATGATATTTTTTCCGAAAGACCCTATGCTCAACTAAAGTAAAACAAAAAAGTAATAAAATGAAAGTTTAATACGTAAGTTTTACAAAATTTAGTTTTGAATTTTGCAGCTCATAACAATTCATTCTATTCCAAGAAAATTCATGTGATGGCCCAAGATGTTGTACTACCAACGATAACGAAACTGTTTTAGGGAGATCCAATTTGTAACAAACCTTGTAAAACAATAGATGATTGCTCTGATGGCTCATTTTGTCGGACTGTTGGAAGTTAACGGAGACATGTGCACCATATGTTGGCGGCGCCATGGACATGGCATGTAATTTCAATATTATATTATTGCCCTAAGTGTTGTTCTTTTTTTCAAACTTTTAGTCACTTAGGACTTTTTATCCTAAGTGACCAAAGTGTTGTTCGGAAAGAAGAAAAAAGTATGTGTGTGATATATGTTTTGTGGCTAATAAAATATCGGCAATATGCTTGTTGATTTGATAAAAATATGTTATCAAAGTGTAACGTGTAATCATCAAATTAAATAGAAGATCATCGTATATTTCTTCAAAAATAAAATTATCTCAAATGAAATAGGACGGAGGGAGTACCTTTGTCTCATTAAAAAATAAAATAGTAAGGTTACATTAAATTCAAAGTTTGGGCTATTTTTACTAAAAAAGAGTCCAATTTTTTTTATCTTTCTTACCATTTACATTACTAATATCTTTATTTTTGTCCGTGTCAAAAGTGAATAAAGACATATTTGGACCAATTTTATATCAATAGGGGCATATCTTACCCCAACTATTGATAAATGGTACACTTGGACCACTTTCTAAAATTCAATAGCATTATTGTTCAGCAAGTGAAGTAGTAAATATATTTTTACTTTTAACATTAATTACGTAAATATACTTAATTAGTATGATAACATAATCATATCAATTATTTTTTTAATTAATATATCAAATTCAAATATAACAGGTAGAATTGAATAAAAAAAATTTACATAAGTTGGTGGTACATTAATTTAGTAGTTATTCATATAGGGACCATGGCAGTACACCCCTAAATGCATATCTCTATCTATTTTGGTCCCGGCAATTAATGAATAAAACGTGTTGGTTGTTATAAAATAATATATTGTGGATGTCCACTACATCAAGAAATTACTCCATTACTTTCCTCCATTATAAAGATAACCATAACCTCCACCTTTATATATAACCATTATTCTTGTAACCTTTCACTTCCATAAACTCCCCATTATATTCATGTTAATGTCATTTTTATGACTAACCTTTTGTATGCCTCTATGTTACACTATAAATAGAGGCATAAGGGTTCATATTGTATACACTTGTAGACTTGGAATAATAAGAAAAACTCTCATCTCTTGTCTCCCTATTTCTATTGCTTTTATCTTTTGTATTACTTGTCTTATTTTGCTTTAGTTTTACAACACGTTATCAGCACGAATGTTCTACCAATTGCAGGACTGTAAGTCAAATTCAGATTATATTTATGGTTTTCGATAATTTTTATTTTTTTTGGTAACGTATTTGGTTTATCAAGACATTGATTGAGGGTAAGACGGTGAATTCAAGTTTCACCGCACCAAGTGGGTAAGACACAGAGTTAAAGTCTTGGTGCACCATGATAATAAGAAGTTGGGTTTAAGTCCCATTAATTTATCACCAAAGACGCTTTTATATGGGTAAGACATTGGGTTTAAGTCCTAATGCACTATAGTGATGATATGATGATGACTAACATAAAGTTGTGTACTTTTGACTGAAAGTCATGAAATTTGCCCAATTAATTTACTCCATTCTCTTATGTGAATGTGGTAGCAGTGCATAATATGTCTGAAAAATGACAAGTGGTTGAATGTATGAATATGGGGGTGGTAAAATGTTAATGGTCATCATTGTGGTAATTAAAAGGAAGAACATTATGGGTTCTTAAAATGGTCCTTCAAATGTGAAGGTAATCTTGTCCATTAAAGTGGTATGAAAGGTTATTGAACACATTGTTTCTTAAGATGCTCCTTCAAATGTGAAGGTAATTTTTATCCATCAAAGTGGTATGAGAAGTTATTGGGCAGATTGTTGTTGGTGCAACCCAAATTTGAAAAGTTTTGTAAATTCTCCATCAAAATAAAGGAATACAAAGTGGTAGTACGTTTGGTACATTTGACCTCTTAAAGTGATATTGAGGTGAGTCACATAAATTTGATAATGCCAAAGCATGACAATGAGTTTCTAATAAAAACTTATGGAGCATGTTCAAATGGTTATGGTCCATTTCTTAAAGAAAATGTGACTTGTGTTCTTATGGATAAGAACATGTTCATGTATTGTTGGATAAATGTCACATCTCACCTCTATGGGAGGTTTGAGAGATTGAAAAGAAATATTTTGACATAAATGATTATTTGGTCATATACTTTGAGTACATCACAAATATTGTGGTATGTTCCATCATGAACTATTGCAGGACAAAAGAAAGAAATAATTATTTCCTATAAAGGTTGTGACCATGACCAAAATAAATATTATTGTGTGGCAACACAAATTTGTCATTGTTTGTCAAGAAATAAGTCTTGCAATAATAATTTTAACCATGACAATAATAATAATTTTCTCCTTCAAGTAGATGGTCACCATAAGAATGGTGTTGTGAAATTTGTGGCAGTACACAAAATTAATTGAAAGTTTCTGAAGGACTAATTTGTTACTATCCAGAAAATGCAATAGTTCATAATATTGAGGTTGTAGTAAGTCTCAAAAGAAACTTTTTAAGTTTCGGAGGAATTGAAAAGAAAAATTATTATATTGAGACTGTAAATTATGGAAAGATTAAATATCTTTAGATTACTACAATCAAAGTGGGTTATGTATATTTACATAAAAAGTTACCCATCTTTCTCTTGCTTGTTGTATAAAGATATGAGCATGATGAAGGAATCACATGCAAAAGTAAACTAGAAGTTTACTAGAATAAATATCAGTTGGCATAACCGGTTGGCCAATCCGGTTCAAACATGATGCAAAAGAAATTGAGAATTCACGTGGTTATATGTTTGAAGAAAAAAAAAGATTCTTCAAGAATTCTCTTGTGTTGCTTGTTCTCATGATAAAATGAACAATGTACCAGCTAAGGTTGGGATTGTATCCCCTAAAATTATTTGGAACATATAGAAAGGTGAATATGGGCCCATTCACGTGCCATGTGGACCGCTTACTATTAGGATTTAATAGATGCATCTATGGTATGGTCGCATGTGCATTTGTATCAACTTACAAATTGGTTTTTGTAAGATTGTTTACTCGAATTGTTAAATTACGAGCATAGTTCCAAACTATAAAATTATGTTGATAATATTGGTTGGTTTAGCAGAATTTGTTTGCCTCCAATTATAGCTAGACCATTGATTATGAGACAAATCTATCAAATAAAATTTGGTATGAGATGAGTTTATTTAACATGTATGCATCAAGTCAATAATGTTCTCCCATTGCAATTGGTTCAAGGTCAGGAACCAAATAATTCCATTTAAAAATTTGATGTGTGCACATATGATTTTATTGCTCCACCACGCACAAAGATGGATCCCCAAATGAAATTGGGGTAAATGTTAGATTTCCTAACATTAGGGGGAGATGTGTTGAGCAGCTGAAAATTACGTGTGAGGTGAATTAGCTAGATCCTCGTTAAAAAAAAAGTGAACTTGAAGTTCAAGAGATAATTCATTTGCAAAATGTTGCAAATAATTTG